AAATCAACCATAAAACCTGTTAATGCTGAATCGTCGGTGGATTTTTTGAACAACTGTATAGAACTTGGTCTTCTTCCTAATATATATATATATATATATATATATATATATATATATATATATATATATATATATATATATATATAACTTTTGCTTAGATTTTTATAATTCCTTTTGCATTAAATAAATAAAAAATACCATATTTATTTGCAACATTTAACATGTATAAATAAGTCGTTTCAACAATCTAATGTGCATCGGCAAAACAGATCTTTAAAAATTACTGTATGCTGGACTGTATTTGATCTAAAGATTATAATGATTATCATTCAAATGAAGAATCATAATGTTTTTATTTTCTGGAATCAGTGTAATTATTTACATGTTAATAGTAGCTCTTTTATATCAAATGCCATCTCAAAATCCAATTTTTTACAAATAAATTGAAAAAAAAATTGATTTTTTAAAAATCTAACTTGGTTGGATTGCCAAAAGCCATATGATTTTCCTGAGCAAACAAAAAGGAAAATCACTAAGTTATACAATTGAAAATTAAAAAAGAGTGAGAAAATGTTAAAAACAATCTATATTGATACCTTTACGCTTCTTGCTCACTGCAATTTATCCAAAATCGTAAAAAATCTAATAATAAGCTAAAAGCAATTTTAAATAAACGTGAGACTAATTTTCAGTCTTGGGCCTGACATAAAACTGCATCCACGCTGCTTTGCGTGCTTTTGAGCAAAAGGCTAGGCCCACCGCTTATGAATGGTGGTTGTCGTCAGGATGGGTGTCCGGATGTAAAAACTTTCCCCAAATTATTCTATGCCATCATAAAGTTTAATTTGGCGCAAAAATTGATGGCAAAGAAAACAACGTCCTACCTCGGGGAACTGGGTCTCTGGACGCTAAAGGAAGATTGATTGATTGTGAGACTAATTTTGATTTCTAACCCAAATGTTTGACAAAATTTTCTAGAAATAATTTTTTGTTGAACAAGGAAAATATAATAAAATACAAAAAAAGCTGACACTTTTAAGGAAGGAGTTAACCGAGCAGCCTAGCTGAATACCGAAACATTGTTCATTTTTTGGAAATAGTTTAATTGCAGTAAATTGGCATAATTATTGAAACAAATCAATCTACTTTGATTTACAAAATATTTATTACTAACGGATACATAATATGGTCCAGCAAAATCCCTAATTATTCCATTAGTTGTGCATATTCCCATGTGTCCTAAGCAGGGTATGAACCACCTAAAAATTTTAAATAATAATAAGTTATTTATTAGTAATAAAGTTAAAACGATGTATTCTTTTTCTTCTATTTTTAAGAAACGATTCAATCCATTTAAACACCAATCCATTTATTCCATAAGCATTTAATTTAGCTAATAATGTTCAGTATCTAATGCCTTGGCCAAATCAAGCAGGACAACATCCACTGGAACAGAATTATCCAATTTATAGAAAATAAAATCAAGGGTTTCAAGTAGATTTGTAGTGCATGATTTACCCTTAACAAAACTTGGTCCTGGTCATGACATGGTCCTGGGCATGACATAAAACTGCATCCACGCTGCCTTGCGTGCTTTTGAGCAAAAGGCTAGGCCCACCGCTTATAACTGGTGGTTGTCGTCAGGATGAGAGTCCGGATGTAAAAACTTTCCCCAAATTACTCTTATGCCATCACAAAGAAAAACAACGGCCCCTAATCCCCAGCAGGCTTTAAGTGGTCAAAAGGCGCCAAGAATCCCTGGGAAGTATGCAATAGCGGAGGGATGTTGCAGAAAAATTCAGAATGGCCCTCTATGGTAATTAGACTTGGAGCGCTCGACGTTGGATCACTGACTGGCCGAAACATGAAAATTGCAAAAAAGCTCGAGCGTAGAAGGATTGACATCTGCTGCCTTCAAGAAACCCGATAAAATCGAATGGTGTCTGTCATGTCAACTCAGACAAAGAAAAAAAAACTATTCTGGAATGGTCAAAAAACGGCCAAAAATGGTGTTGGAATTTTTGTCAGAGAACCGCTAGCCCAAGAAGTACTGGATATTAAAAGGATTAATTCACGTCTCATGTGGATCAAGCTTCGCATATAAAAGCAAACAATGATTATTTTCTCTGCATACGCACCACAGACAGGCGAATCAGAAGAGATGAAAAATGACTTCTGGGCTGCATTCTCTGACACCATCTCAACAATACTAAAATCTGAAACAATCCTGATAGGAGGCGATCTCAATGGCCACGTTGGAGAGAAAACAAATGGTTTTGACAACGAACATGGCGGTTTTGGCTATGGAGAACGGAATGAAGATGGCAACCGCATCCTTGAGTTTGCTGGAAGTAACGGGTTTTGTTTATTGAACACATATTTTAGAAAGAGGTTGGAACATCTCATAACATACAAAAATGGACCATCAGCCACGCAATTTGACTTCTTCGCTGACAAGCAACAACTCTGAAGGTTATTCAAAAATGTCAATGTTATACCTGGCAAATCATGTGTCGCCCAACATAGACTCCCTGTGACAGACCTGGTTGTCGAACTGTCATAACATAAATCAAAACAAATGCCTCGGAGAATCAAAACGTGGAAGATGAAAAGCAATATTCATCGAGAAAAATTTCAACAAATTGTCGCCACACAGTTAGACCATCAACCGCAATCTAGTTCAGATTGGAGTATATACAAAACCGTTTTGATAAACGATGCAACTACAGTTTGTGGGAAAACTGGTACAAAATGTCAGCATGAACGTGACACTTGGTGGTGGAATGACAGTGTACAAAATGCAATAGCTGAAAAGAAAGTTGCATACAAGCAATGGCAAAAATCAAAGTCTGTTGATGACCATAAAATTTTTCGTGAGAAGAACAACTATGCAAGACGTTAAGTTGCACTGGCTCGGACAGATCAGTATAAAGAGTGGCTCACTAAAAGCTAAGGTGAACAAATGAAATCTCTGTATCGTATAGCAAAAAAGCAAAGCGTACGAAAAAAGACATAGTTGGTGCCCTTGTATAAAAAACGACAAAAATGAGATGGTTCTTGAACAAGATGAGATCAAGCTTTAGTGGAGAAAATACTTCAACCGTCTGTTAAATGAAACAAATCACATCAATGTCAACTTTAACGCTCCACCCATCGAAGGTCCGATTCCAGACATCACTGTAAAGGAGCTTACAGAAGCACTGAAAGCTATGAAGGATGGAAAGGCAGCAGGACCCTCTGGACTCACAAATGACATTATCAAAGAATCTGGTACTGCAGGTATCCAAACGTTACTACAACTTTGCCGTCAAAATCTGGAGAAATTGCTTAACGCCGACTGAATGGAACTATAGCATGACAGTCCCGCTATACAAAGGCAAAACATCAACAACTATCACACATTTTTGTAGACCTTGAAAAAGCATTTGATCGAGTTCCCCGTGAAGCAATCAGATGGAGTCGACGTCGACAATTCATTCCAGAATATCTTGTTCGACTTGTAATGGAAATGTATACGAATAATAACACTCTCGTCTGCACAACTGTTGGAAACACAGATGCATTTGACATCGGCGTTGGAGTTCACCAAGGCTCGATTCTCAGTCCACTGTTATTTATAACTGTGATGGAAGAAATCACAAAACCGATACGCACTGGTGACATTTGGAATCTAGTATATGCTGATGATATCGTTTTAACAGCCACGTCTGAGCAGAATGCAGCATAGATGTTTGAAGATTGGAACACCAGACTCGCCGATCATGGATTCAATGTCAACATCAGCAAAACCAAAGCAATGAACACTGGTGAACCCATCCAATCCACAGCTACTGGAAGATGGCCCTGTTCAGTTTGTAAAGCTGGTGTAGGTAACAATTCAATCAAGTGTCAGCAGTGTAACCAGTGGTGTCACAAACGTTGTTCAAAAATAATTGGTACTTTATCTAAAGTGTCCAATTTTGTTTGTCCTGCTTGCATCAATCCACAACAACAAATTCGAAATAGCAATGTTTTTGAAGCCATTAAGGAAGAGAAAGTCACATCGTTTCAATATCTAGGAGATGTTCTGGATTGTACTGAAACAGCTGAAGCTGCCTTTCGAGTACGCATACGTGCAGCCTGGAATAAATGGCATCTCCTTGCCTCTATATTGATGCGGCCTGACATCCCACTACCACTACGATCAAGACTTTATAAATCTGTGATACGTCCGGTCTTGTTATATGGTGCAGAAACATGGCCAATGACAACCAAACTGGAACAACAACTTCAAGGAACCGACATGAAAATGCTCCGATGGATGCAACGAATTAGTCTGAAGGACCACATCAAATCTACCGAAATCCTGCGTCGTGCTGGTTTAGATGATATAAAGGACGAATGCCGGCAACACCGTCTGCGGTGGTTTGGTTATGTCAAACGAAGTGGAAACAGTGCCATAACTTCTCTTGCAGATGTTGAAGTACCTGGCACACGTCCCAAAGCCGTCCAAAGAAGTCCTGGTCGCAAACAATCGAGCAAGACATGAAAGCTCTAAATTTAAATAAAATGGATACAACTGATCGTCTAATTTGGCGCAAAAAGTTGATGGCAAAGAAAACAACGTCCTACCTCGGGAAACCGGGTCTCTGGACGCAAAACGAAGATTGATTGAACCAATCAAATGATTTCTCTCCAATGATTTTATTACATTTTTTATCAATAAAATCAATAATATTCGTAGCACGACTATAGAAAATACTAACAAACCAGTCCAGTTTGAATATATTTCTAGGGTTGTCTTACCTGATTCAATTGTTAATTTTTCCCATTTTCAAATGTGCACTCCAGATGAATTGCGTAAAATAGTTTGTGACTCCCTTAGTAGTTCTTGTTCTCTTGATCTGATTCCAACATATTTATTTAAAAAAATTTATAGATCTGTTTTGCCATTTTTGTCAACCAATGTTTATCAACTGGCGGTTTTCCCAGCCCTTTGAAAAATGTTATTGTAACCCCACTTCTTAAAAAATTAAATTTGGATGACAACGTTTTATCAAATTACCGTCCTACCTCTAATCTTTCTTTCATTTCTAAAGTCATTGAACGAGTTGTTATTGAACAATTGTTACAGCATTTAAACAATAACAATTTGTTACCAAAGAATCAATCTGGCTATCGCCAATATTTTTCCACAGAAACTGCACTCATTGATATTTTCTCCCAATTATTTTCTTCAATTGAAAATCAATGTGTTTCTTTTTAGAAGCACATTGTGTTTCTGAGTGCTGCATTTGATTGTGTCGATCATACTCGTCTCGTGTATAAACTCCACAAATTTGTTCTTCTCTGATTCAGTCTTATTATGGTTCTCTTCCTATCTTTTGGGCCGCACCCAGCAGGTTTCTTATAACAACACTCTCTTTGACGTAAACAAATTATCTTTTGGTGTTGGGACCTCTGTTATTTCTTATGTTATTTCTCTGTTATTTCCACTCAATTCAAGACTGTTCAAAAAAGTAGAAAATAACAACAACCACATCATCCTCTGCTACCACCAATCAAAACTACAACACACAACCTTCGTCAGCGCAAATATAAATATCAAGTCGTCGCCCAATCTACATACCAGGAAAAGACCTTCATCACAAGACACCTTAAACATATTAGCACTTGAGAATACCTCACCATTACTGAACTAGTTTTTACTTATTGATCACCTCACTTTTATCGATCATCTCACTAACTCACTAAGTCATCATTAAGTCATCATTAAGTCATCAAATATATTAATACTCATTAAACTTTTTCACACACAGGCCTAGCCTTTATTTATCTATCACCTCACTAAGTCACCATCTAGTCTATCAATTTGCTGTTACTTCATTTTATATTCCATCGTCAATTACTTTCTTTTATTTCTCTTATTATTATTATTTATTTTATTCTAACATATTTTATTTTTCATGTTTTATCATTTCTCTTCCTCAATTTTTGTATTTATTTTCTCACTTATTTGTTTATCTGCGTCTGTCAGATCCTGATTTTTAAAGAATAATAAAAAAAAATGTACACTGCTGATGTTTTTGATATCATTCAAAAATATGAGTTCAGCTCTCACGCCTTTGCTGATGATATTCAGTTGTTGGTATCTTGTTTTGTTGATTCGATTGATGCTTCTCTGAATAAACCGATTGTCTTATCGAAATTTGCTCTTGGATGAGTATGAATCAGTTAAAGTTAAATCAATCTAAGACACAAATATTACCGGTGGTTCATGGCAGCAGCTGTCAAAAGTCAAAATTTCATCAATCTGTATTTTTTTTTTATTAATCTTCATTATTGCAGCTCTGACATACGCAGAACCACTTACAATGTTACAGATATATTATCTATATATCTTTATTGTGTTCTTCATATCTTCAACCAATGATATGAAGCAGCCATCTTCGCCACAAAGGCTGTTTATCCTTTTCATACGACGTACACATTTATTTTATGTGCACGCGCAAGCACCGCATCATATACGCTGAGTATATGATAGCCATTGAGATGTTTGACTCAGCGCGCATTTGAACCACTGAGCCATCTCGCCGGCCAACATGCGACAACTTACGTTGTCTACCCATTTACCAACCTCGAAAGGATGGACGGCTGGGTTGACCGGGAGTCGCTACCCGGATAAACCTGTAGAAACTGCAAAATTCGAACCCGGGTCGTAAGAGTGGTAGACAGACACGCTAACCACTCGGCCACGAGACCTCATTGGCAATAACATCATTGATCTTTCCACATCTGTCCGTAGTCTTGGAGTTGTTATTGACTCAAACCTAAAGATGGATTTACATATCAATAATTAATGAGGATCTGTTCCAACCAGCTACGTTTATTACGCAATGTCAGAAAATCACTAAGCACATCTGTTCTTCAAAGTTTGGTTTCCTCTTTCGTTTTTTCTCAGACTGGACCATTGCAATAGTCTTTTTTATGGTGTCACCAAAAGGTGTTTTCAAAGCTTCAGTCAATACAGAATCGTGCGGCCAAGCTGGTTTTGGGTGGTTCGAAGTTCGATTATGTTACACCTATTTTGGATAGGTTGCACTGGTTGAGGGTTGAGAAACGTGTTTTCTTCAAGATAGCAGTTTTGATGTTTAAATGTGTCAATAATGCAGCACCTCCCTATCTCATCGATAGATTGGAATCATACAAATCTCATTTTTCAAATTATTCCTTCCGATAAACCGAGCGCAATTTTTTTATCCCGTCTACAAAGTTAGCGACGGGTTCCCGTAACTGCGGTTTTTGGCCCGGTTGTTTCGAATGGTTTGCCTCCTTACTTACGTGACCCTAACGTACCATATAGTTACAATTTCGAAGTCAGCTTAAAACTTATTTATTTGCACAATGAACGTCCGTCTTATTTGTCTATGATTCAGTAGCGCTTTTGAGTTTCACCAAATAAAAAGCGATAATTACATATAAATATATATATTTATTTTTATTTATATGCAAAATTAAAAAAGTATTACAGCATTGCATACGTTGTTCAATTTGCAATTGAATTTTTCAATTTTTTGTAAAGCGAATTTCAGCGAATTATCAAGTTTGTTCAGTTCATAAACCAAATTTTTATTCAGCAATGTGTGGATTGTTTTAGTGAATTATTTCTACGTTATTGACAACTGATTTTCTCTGATGATTCTCGTGTTATGTTTCTCTTTCAGGCTATTTTTATTGCTCCTGAATGAACATGCATGGTAAACCTTTTTGATAATTTGGTTGTTGTCATCCCCGATGTATTAAGAGTTTTGGTGCCCACACTCACCAATTTTGCATTTGTATGAGTACACTAAGTACACTAACACATAGTTTACTGATTAGTACACTAATAAGTAAACTATGGTTTATTAATTTTTTTTGCTTGCTTGTTGTTCATAAAGATGAAATTTTATTGCTGGTGTAATATATCTTAAGTTTAACAGTTTCTTTTCATTAATTGGTTTGACATTGTTTCTAAAAACTCTTTTCATAATTTCCTCATCCTGTTAAAACGCTGTCGACATGGGTTCTGGTAGTATATTATGATGTTTCTGTTTACATTGCTATTTAAGTTAATTTTATTTGGATCACTTTTTCTATTAATGGTCTTTCATAGCCATTACTGATGAGGAGGTTGGAGATTCTTTGTATTTCTTTGTTTCTGTCTTCTATGTCCGATGAATGTGTATACGCAAGGTTTCCAAACGACGCGATGGTACTTTCCAGGTATTTCTCGCAGCATTCACTTCTTCTGTTTAGACATAAACCTTTGTTTGAGGCCTATGTGTAAACCGACGTCTTAAATTCGGTATCGTTGCTTTGAACTAAAACATCCAGAAATGGTAGCTTGTTGTTTCTGCCTTCTCTATTGTAAATTTCAACTTTGATTTGTTGAAGTCATTAAGCAATTCTTTGATACTTTCAATACTATCATACTGTGACAAAAATGTCGTCAACATATCGGCAGTATATAAGGGGTTTGAGCCGTGGCTTTTTGTTGAATATTGCTTCCTCGAGGTGGTCGACATAGAAATTTGCAGAGTACTCCCAATATAGAGCCCATCGCAACACCATTAGTCTTTTTTTATAATTTCTTGTTTGGTACATTGAATAGAGCCATCATTGTACACATTCTTAATAGTTTTTCTGTTTCTTTTTGACATTAGTAGTGGTTCGAGGTTCAACACGCTTCTGGAGTCTTACCGACTGACAAATTCACTATTCGAATAAATTCACTTAGTGGAAACACTCAGTAACAAAGTCAGAATTTTAACAAATTTACTTAGTGAAGAAACAGTAACAAAGTCACTCAAACCCTATATAAACAGGCACATAAAACAAAATCTGTATTCAACATTGATGATTACAAATGATTGCCGAAAAAAAGTTTTTTATGTTGGAATGTACTTAAATATTTAAACGAAAATGCAAAAAATGAATAAAAATTTTGTTTATGAACTGGACAAACTTGATAAACTTGATAATGAACTGAAATTCGACGTACAAAAAATTGAAAAATTCAATTGTAAACTGAGCAACGTATGCAATACTGTGATATTTTTAAACTGTAAATCAGATAGTCTCAACCTAATATATATATATATATATATATATATATATAATTATATATATATATATATATAATCTATCATGAAATATTTTTTGTTGATGATGACTGGCCCTCGCAGCAGTCTTGTATAGTAAAAGTGGCTTGCATTGAAAAAAGTTAAACACCCCTGTCTTAAACTAAATCCTTCTAAGTTCGAATTAATATGTTTTAATAAATATAAACAACACTATATTACTATTCTTTCTATTACTTTACCTGATTCTATTCATAAGTTTCGTAGTCTAGGTTTTATCTTACATTCTTTTTTCATGTGTTTCTGAAAGTTCTTTCATTTAAGTAAAATAAAAAAACTTTTGCTTTTCTTAACAATTCTACTCTTCTCTTACTTGTTACTTCATCTGTTTTATTTAGAGTTGATTATAGTAACTCGCTCTACTATAGTCTAACTAAAGCTTTTAACTCCACTGCTCAACTAGTTATTCATGTCCCTATCTTTTCGCATACATCTCCATATCGTTCTACATATAAAATATAGAACAATTTTTTTAAATTTAAACATTAATGTACAATGTAATCTAAATTATTTCCTAAGTACTGAATGAATGAACGAACGAACAAACGATGAAAGAATGAACAAATGAATTATTGATTGATTGATCAATTGTGCACAGGTCAGTCTATATTTTGTGATGTTTTTGCAGTGGTCCACATTATTTTTAAATAATTCTTGATTAAATGCATATGATAAATAAGTTTTTAATTATATTATAACATATTGTTTTGATTGAATTGAGCAAAACTATTTTTTTGAGAAAAATCAGCCAAATCAATTTTAAAAAAAAAGGCAGCCATTATAAGTTTTTGTGATGTTGTTGCGATGTTTCACGTCATTTTAAAATCATTTTTGATCAAAAACATAATATAAATAATTTTTAATTATATTTTAACACATTAATTGCGATTATAAAATGTGTTTTTGTTAAGTCAGCCAAAGTACATATAAAGTAAATCAGCCACTCTAATGTGATTTTGTCACATTTTGCATTTTTTCAAAATTATTTTTAAATTATTAAATACACATCATAAATAAATATTCTGTAATATTGTTAAATTCATTAAAAGATTTTTGGTACTTCACCTTAATATATTTATATGTTAACAAACATCAACTTCTGCAAGTAAGTCAGCCAAATCAGCCAGCCTTAAGTCAGCCAACCTGACTCAGTACTATAGTACATTTTCATGAATACCTGTGGTACTCACCGCGGATGAAGTAAAAAATGCCGCATTAATTTACCAGTCTGGCCAACTGGCAGTGGCTTTATTGGTTGAGTGGCTTATTGCATCAAAATTGTTGACAGATTGCTGTAGGTTTTAAACTTTGTAAATATTATGTTAGCTAATTGTAGGTATTAAGTTGACTAATTAGAAATATTATAATAATATTCCAATCAGCCACCATAATATCCAAATCAACCACTATAATATCCCAACCAGCCACCATAATATCTCAATCAGCCATCATAATATCCCAATAAGCAATAACCTAATCATAATCAGCCAACATAATATTACCAATCAGTTAACAACATAATATACATACACAGTTAGCCAATGTAATATTCATAATCATGACGACCATTTATCAAATTAATATTTAATTAAATTGATATCTGTCAACGATTTAATTTTTAATGCAGTATAAAAATATAAACTATAAAAAGATAAACAGATAAACTCTAAAAAACTAAACATAAACCACTCAGACATTCAGCCAATTGGTCAGACTCTTAATTTACCACAGTCGTGACAATTTTTCAAAAAAATATTAATTAATAATATACACAACACAGCGGTTTTTACTACAGACGTAGCCCCCAGCAAAAAACATACGTGAGAATAGGAATAGGTGTCCAAACTATTGAATGTGGATATAAATTTTTTTCAATATCATTTTTTGCCAAGGAACCCTGAGAAGACATATCAGCATTCGTTTGATTTTTCATTAAACAAATTTAAAACTCCACTGCCTAATCGAAGAAATGGAAACGAATCACGACAGAAACACAAACTGCAATTTTAAAAAATAACGCCGGTTATCTCAGATAGCATTACACAGGTGTGTAACATAAACACAACATTTATGAAAAGCTAACAAGCTATATTCATATATGTAGAATCAAGGGGAGGCCTTTTTACCAACATACAACACTTTTTTATGGGTTGAAGAACCTCAATTTTTTCAACTTTTAATTATTTTTGGTAATGACAATTTTATTTTTCAAATTGATACCAAATAAAAGTAATTAATTACCACATTGAATAACAATTAAAAAAAAAAAATTTTAACATTTTAAATAAAAGCAGTGTACCGAAATTAGTAAATATACGATCGTAACTTTTAATTCGAACGATAAAAATGCGTTTTATATGTGTTTTCGAATACTCCAAACCTTTCGATAGCGTGAAGCCAGTGGAGCTTATGAAAATATTGGAAATTTGGACATTGATGGAAAAGACATGAGAATTATCAAAAACCTCTATTGGGACCAAAGAGCAGCAATGAAAGTTGGAAAAACCCATGCTTGAAAATGTGTCATTGAATCTTTGCTACAAATCTGGGCTGAAATAATTAGTATACCATATTAATTCAAAAGAATGTATAAGAATGTATGTTACACAGACGTAAAAAATACCCAGGAGAAATGAGCACCAAAACTAACCTAAAAGCTATTTCAGAAGAAGTTGGTAATTCAGTTGACAACACAATCAATTTTTATCAATGGTCCCATGATAATAATTGCGGTTCATTGATTTTTGTAGAAAATACGGTTGACAGTTTCATTCAGAGATTTTTACAAAAACTTACGAGTTGTCATCGCATTATAACATAAGCAAAGAACAATCAAAATATTTTAGCGATTCTAATGAAAATTTAAAAAGTTCAGAGTGTATTGCTTTAATGGTTTTTGCTGAAAATTGAAAATTATTTAGTGATGATACAGGATGCAATCTAAAGTCAACATTTGAGCAACACGCAAGTTACTCTTCACCCAATCATTCTTAATTATGGCGACGATGAAAACTTGTCTGTCAAAAGCATTTGCATGATTAACGAATGTCTTGATTTCAATGTTTTCGCAGTTTATGTTTTTTTGAAACATTTAATTAATTATATAAAACAAAACTTGAATATCGTTACTTTGATTTAAATATTCTTCTGATGGTCAACACACAAAATTTACAAAAAAAATTCTAATTTCAAATCAAAATCAAATCAAAATCAATTTATTCATTTAATCAAATCAAACAGTATCGAATCATGCAAGAGATAAAATAATCGGGAGACCAAAGAGATAGATTAATGCCTTGTGCAGGCCACCAGTTTACAAATCTAGAGTTATTTAGGAAAATAAATATAAATATTTCAGTACTTAGGAATTAAATATTAAATGCATGAATAAGATTGACAGTCTTATTTTCGGCTCGCTGAGGTTTAAACTTATTTGTATCAGTTTTATTCTTGCTGGGTTTTTGTATAAAACTAGAGTGTGTCTCAGGTTTTTTGAATGAATTGAGGTGTTATTAGTAAAAACATTTTTGTGAGCATGTGATTTAGAAACTTGTACACAAAAATCGCAACCATATAAACATGGATGTTTTTGATTTTGAGAAAATTTATGTTGGAGTAGTAGTGGCTAACGTGGCAACTTAAAGGGAAATTTAAAAGTATGCGTATTAATCGATTTTGACAGCTGTTTAAGATATTTTCTGGACAATTACCCCAAAGGATGTTGCAATAAATGTTGCAATGTTCCAAAAATTTATTGAGCTTTATAACTATAGAATTGATGTGTGGTTCCCATAAAAGATTATCTTTAATCTGTATGCTTAAAAATTTAGTTGATTTGGAACGCGAGATTGAATGTCTTTAATTTACCATAAAGGATTTTGGATAAAAAGCAGAATGGCACATTTTTGCAATTTTTCATGGAAAAAGTTCTTGCGATGGTATTAAAGGGACATCAAAAAGATTAGTTTCAAGAGTTAGTTAGCAAGCATCATCAAAAAAACGCCAGAAATTTTTACACATACACTGATTCGGAAATAAAAGGTATTAAATTTTTTTGGGTGGACAAAAAAAATTAAAATAACAAGTAGGGATTTTTGAAAAAAGATTTAGGTCAGTAGAAAAAAGGGCTGGGTGATAAATGAGTGATAACTCATTTATTCCAGAAAAAAATAATCAACTTTTGATGAAACAATTCTAATAAATAAGAAAGTTAAGACAACAATGACGATTACGAACCAGGTTGGTATATAGCTTGGGTCTATGATAATAAATGATATTTAGGAAAAATTATAGAAAGAGATGATAAAATTAATTATTAAAAGTGAAATGTTTGAAAAAACTTACAGACAATTTTTTTTATTGGCCTAAAAATGTAATCGTTATGTACCATTTAAAAATATTTTGACTGTTATACCTGATGATAACATTTCTTATGTTTTTAAACACACTAACACGTTGTATAATAATTTAAAATTGAAAAAAAAAATTAAAAAAATTGATACTCAAAAAAATTGTTTGCCTGTTTTTGAAGTTGATTTTTTTTAAAAAAGTTGCCATTTTTATTTTTTGATATGTTGTTAAGCTTTTAAAAAACTATATAAAACAATTAAAAAAAGTTTTGTTCTTCGTGGTTAAAAAGGGCGATAAACAAAAGGGGTTTTTCATTTTTTTGACTTTTTGACTCCCGTTAGCTCAATTTGATACAGACTTCAACAAAATTTTGCGATTTATTTACAATTATAAGGTACTTTTAAAATAACAAAAAATATTTTTTTATTTTGCGATTGATTTCAAGCTACACTGCCTTGAAATCGGTAAAATTTTCAAAAAATTCAACTTTCTAGTTTTTTACAAATATCTATTAATTCGAGACAATAATTTTTATTCATTTTATTATAATATTGTTTCATTGATATGCAAAAAAAATATCAAGATATGTTGGCAAGTTCAAGAGATATAGCGTTCTACATTGGCACACATTTTGAAAAGTATTTATAGAATAAAAAAAAATTGAAATTTTTTTTATAAAAAAAAATTATGTCGATGAAATATACTTACTGTTAAAATTTTTCAAAAATCGTAAATGGTCAGGCGTGGACCATAGTTCAAGTTGACAGAGAATGACCCATATATATATATATATATATATATATATAGAGAGAGAGAGAGAGAGAGAGAGAGACAAATTGAAAAATTCATATATAAGTTGATAAACACTAATAAATCGGTGGAATTTATTGCATATTGTCAAGAACTCGGTCTTCTACCAGCATTTGCAAAAAACTACCAGGACCAACCAACTGTTCTTACTGTTGAACAAGAACATGAACAACGTCAACTTCATCTTAACCGTGAGTTAAATATTAAACGACAAATTTAAAAATTCGAATATAAGTTGATAAACACTAATAAATCGTTAGAATTTATTACATATTGTCAAAAATTTAAAAGATACATATAAATATACATATATTCGAAAAAAAAAATATATACATATAAAAAAAATATATACATATATATATATATATATATATATATATATATATATATAATTTTCATTAAATTCTATCGCTATAGTAAATTATAAGAATAGAATTTAATAAAAAAGTGTTTACGTAATGGTCTTATACCAATATATATAAATATATATATATATATATATATATATATATATATATATATATATATATATATATTCAATTTCATTCATTTAATGATCCTCTGTAATGATCCCCGTTGAGGCCGATGGTATTCTTCTATTTCTCCAAAATCCTTTTCTTTCCCTCGCCATCTTCGTTGAGCTCAATGTTCCAACCCCCGTCCATTCCGTGATATCATCCATCCACTTCCTCACAGGTCTTCCAACTTTTTTCTTCCAGTCCCTCTTTCTCATCAGTACTTTTTTGATCAGTCTGTCGTATGTCATTCTGCATATGTGCCCAAAGATACCCAGCTTTCTTTCCTTGACACTTTCATACACAGTTTTTTGTCTTCCAAGTTGTTTTCTTATGGCATCGTTTCTTATCTTTTGTCTCCAACTGATTCCCAGCGACTTTCTATAACAATGCATCTCGAATGCTTCCAGTTTGTCTTTGTCTCTTTTCTTCAACGTCCAAGCCTCACATGCATACATCAATGTAGAAAACACACACGCTTCTACGATCTTTACCTTTGTTTTTGTAGATACATTACCGTTTTTCAATATTACTTTCAAAGATGCAAACATTCCTCTCGCGATTGCTATTCTTCTATCAATTTCTTTCGAACAATTATTGTCATCAGTTATGAGGCTGCCCAGATATATAAATTGGTTCACTTGTTCGAGCTTTTCTGCTCCTATCTGGAATTCATCATTGTTTCCACCTGCTTCCGAAATCATTATCTTTGTCTTACTGCTGTTGATGTGTAGTCCATGGTTTCTTCCACCATCGTACGTCAACTCGATCGCTTTCTGTAGACCCTCTGCACTAGATGCTAGCAGATCTATATCATCTGCAAACCTGAGGTTCCTTATCACTCTGCCTCCAATGTCGATTTCTTCAATATCTGCATTCTCCATTTTTTCCAAGGCTCTTTCCAACAGTGCTAAGAACAGTAATGGTGATATTGGATCTCCTTGTCTACTTCCTATGCTCGCTTTGATCCAGTCTCCCAGCTCTGTACCTACCTTTACCGCCATTGTTGACTCCTCATAAAGCCCTTTCAGCACCCTTACCATTTTTGTTGACACTCCCATACTTTCCAAAGCTGCCCACAAACCTTCGTGCCAGACTGAATCAAACGCCTTCTTAAAATCCACAAAACAATGAAAAGTTGTTTGACCTCTGCTTCCTGCATCTTCCAACAATAGTCTCAACATCAGGATTTGCTGGACTGTATTTCTATCCTTTTTGAAACCTGCCTGCTCCT